GAATTTTATCACTGCTTTTTCTATTTCTATGAAGAACATCACTAATTTTACTAGGAATTGCATTAAATCTGTGTGATGCTTTTGGTAGTATGGCCATTTTTACAATATTAATTTCTGCCTATCCAAGAACATGGGAGATCTTTCCATTTTCTAAGGTCTTTAATTTTTTCTTTAGTGTTCTGTACTTCTCATTGCAGAGGTTTTTCACCTCTTTTGTTAGATTGAATCCCAAATATTTTGTTTTTTTCAAGGTTATTATGGATGAGGTAGTTTTCCTAATTTCTTTTTCAGTTGATTCATCACTGATGTATAGGAACACAATTGCTTTATGGGTGCTAATTTTATATCCTGCTACTTTACTGAATTTGAGTTCTAGAAATTTTCTGTGAATTTTTTTTTGATTTTCTAAATATAGAAACATGTCATCAGTAATTAGAAATAGTTTTGAGTTCTTCTTTTCCTATCCTTATAACTTTAAATTTTTTGTCTAATTTTGCTCTGGCTCAAGTTTCAAGAACTATATTGAATAGAAGTGGTGAAAGAGGGCATCCTTGTCTTGTTCCAGTTTTTAGAGAGAATGCTTTCAATTTTTCTTTAGAATGGAGTTTGTACAATGTTGAGGTTTATTCCTACTATCCCTAGTTTTTCTAGTGTTTTGAACATAAATGGATGCTTTTTCTGCATTTGTTGAGATAATCATATGATTTTTGTCTTTACTTTCTTGAGAACAGAGTGCCAGATTATTACAAGATGGAATTCTGGCAAATCAACATTTGCAAACAAAGGGAGATAGAATTGTGAGAGAGAAAGTGAGTTTTTAAGTATTTAGTCATTTTCAAATGCATGCATTTATACAAATATTTTAAAAATGAAGTATATGCATCATGGAAAATATAGAAGATTTTAAAATTATCTTAGCATATACATAATATACATATTTGGGGGTTGGCAGTGGCATTTTTGACCCTTTGGTTCTTAATTTGACTATATTTGTCTCCAACAATCCAATAATGACATTCACAATGGCCTCATCCAAAGAAAGGGTTTTTAACATGTTCTACTAAGAGGTGACTGTCTTCAAGAGTAAATATATGAAATAACCATAGGAAGATAAAAGTCTAAGATCAAGTGAAGATATTTATGACAAAGATGATGAATGTAAAGAATATGTTTTGGTGATTCCTGATCAGTTTTACTTTGTTGATTTTCTGAGTAATTTGAATGAACACATTCTCAGAATCTAGTGTGTATGATATTTTATTGCAACTGAATTTATCTCAAAATATTTTAGTGGTTTGTGTTAGACTTCCCATCTTACTTTCTTATTTGTCAAACTGTTTATTCATGCAGATTAATGACATTATAGCAAAACTGGAAACTGCATCTTCAAAATGTCTAT